TGTTAAAGGTGCTGAGAGTTGTGAGGAGACTCCCTTCGCAGAGATACCATTTCAGAGTTCCCTGTGAAGGGGGACTGACTGTTAAACAACTCTGGAAATTGTAGCTCTGTGAGAGGGAGGAGGGTCTCCCAACATCTCTCACTGCCCTTATCAAACTACGGCTCCCAAGATTAAACAGCCACGGCTGTTGAAGTGGTATCATAGTGCTTCCCAATGGGCCTCAACTGGATAAATGCTTTTCCTCCGCTCATTGTAAACCACAGGTTAGAGTCCTTTTAATTTTCAGTGGTACCTCGGGTTACAGGGACGCAGGTGGCGCTGTGGGTTAAACCACAGAGCCTAGGACTTGCTGATCAGAAGGTCGGCGGGTCAAATCCCCGCGACGGGGTGAGCTCCCGTTGTTCGGTCCCTGCTCCTGCCAACGTAGCAGTTCGAAAGCATGTCAAAGTGCAAGTAGATAAATAGGTACCGCTCTGGCGGGAAGGTAAACGACGTTTCCGTGTGCTGCTCTGGTTCCCCAGAAGCGGCTTAGTCATGCTGGCCACATGACCCGGAAGCTGTCTGCGGACAAACGCCGGCTCCCTCGGCCTATAGAGCGAGATGAGCACGCAACCCCAGAGTCGGTCACGACTGGACCTAATGGTCAGGGGACGCTTTACCTTTTTACCTCGGGTTACAGACGCTTCAGGTTACAGATGCTTTAGGTTACAGACTCCGCTAACCCAGAAATAGTACCTCAGGTTAAGAACTTTGCTTCAGGATGAGAACAGAAATCGTGCGGCGGTGGCACAGTGGCAGTGGGAGGCCCCATTAGCTAAAGTGGTACCTCAGGTTAAGAACAGTTTCAGGTTAAGAACGGACCTCCAGAACGAATTAAGTTCTTAACCCAAGGTACCACTGTATTTTAAGCAAAAAAACTTTAGAAATCAAGGAAGGGCTTAAAATATGCCTGAGTATTCTCCCACAGTTCTCACCTGCCCTCTTTGCACCCCTGTAGCCAAGTCAGTACCTCCTGACCTGTAAGAATGATGAACAGCCAACTCCTTGGCAGACAGGTTGCTGGTGGCTCTTGCCAGCTCGGTGGCGCCATTCTTCCAGCCCCTTTGGCAGCGTCCTCACCTTGGATGCTTGGGAACTGGTCTGAGTCTTCCAAAAGCCAGCCTTTGCATTTGATTTATGGTGCGGCCCAGCCCACCTGATTCTTTAGCAGAGAGATCCATCTCAGCCTCACGGCTCTGGGACTCTCCTCCTCCGTCAACAGACTCTGCGCATTGCAAAACACTGGAATAACTGGTGTTTTCGTAAGCAGCCACCATGATGGCAAAGCAACAATGGCAAATGAAAAAATTGCCTCTTTCCCTTAGAGACTCGACCAGTCGTCACTGTGTTCTGCAGTTTCCCACAATATTGGAACGGGGTCTTTAGCGTGGTGGCACCCACCCTTTGGAATGCCCTCTCCTCATCATGGATTCATGAGTGAACTAGTGATGCAGGGGAAATCCAATTCAGTCCACATTTAAAGGTGAACCTACCACATCCACAGTTTCCAAAACAATACGGAACACAGAAATCTTTTGAAATTTGCATTTCTGTTACTATTTTCAGTGCCATTCTCTAGCACTTCTCTAAAGTTCTCCAGTCGAGCAATGTGTAACAAAAATGCATCTGCTAAGTGAAGCATATATTACAGGTAAAGGGAGAGAAATACGTGTATATTAAGATAAATTCCAACTAAAATGCTGGTTTTAATTAGGGCTTTTTTAAAAGGTCACATGTGACAATGTGGAGAACTGAACTTAAGATTGGAAAAATCTGAAACTGGCAGGTTTCTCCATTCCAAATGTGATATGGACCAGAAATACTTACGTATCGATCTGTAGGTCTCAGGAATCAAGCCCTTTCTTCACAGTGGTGCTGCCAAGGCAGGGCTTGAGGACAGAAGTCCAAGGTCCTAGTTAGCAGAATGAACAGAAGCCCCACTCCTTCTCCTCTACATCAGTTTTGACTTACCATAAATTGGATGGGGAACCAGGGTGGCCACGTCTGATACAGTATGTTCTGCCTCTAACTAAATGAGACCTCTTCAGCTACAGGGATGGAATGAAACCTGTGGCTCACTAGATCAGGGTTTCCCAAACATGGGTCTCCAGCTGTTCCCAGACTACGACTCTCATCATCCCTAGCTAGCAGGACCGGTGGTCAGGGATGATGGGAACTGTAGTCCAAAAACAGCTGGAGACCCAAGTATGGTAAACTCTGCATTAGATATTTCTGGACTACAACTCCCATCTTCCCTGACCATTGTCCTTGCTGGCTGGGGCTGCTGGAAGCTGGAGTGCAACCACACCTGGAAGGCCACAGTTATAAATATTATACCATCTAAAGCGGGAGGCAATAAGTCATGACATCCAAACTCTAGTATCACTTTACAGCACCACTGTCGCTCCCCTAATAGCGGTATTTGCTATCTCCTGGCTACCCCAAACAAGTTCTGTGTTTTTCTGGAGTTTTTCACAGTTACGTTCTTCAAATGGTCTTTAGCCACTTTGCAATCTAGATGGAAAGCTTCACTGTTTAGCTTCAGCTGTTGATGTGCATGTCAATTTGACTCTGCAACTACTCAGCTATAGCCAGACAGCATTCATGTGTGATGGATCTTAGGGTGTGTGTGTGTGTGTGTGTGTTTTGGATTATCTTAACATTTTCCCTTCCCTGTCCAAATCACCCTTGGTATCATCAAAGCCCCAGCAATCACCAGGCCAAAGGAATCGCCGTTTGTGGGTTTCTCAATCTCTGGAGCCTCGTCAATCACAGCTTATCTCTTCTGATAAATGAAAGGACACACAGGACATGCAACCCCCTTATCGCAAAGCTAACTCAACACTTGTGTTGCCTCACCAAAGGTGAAGACACAGGAAGCCTGCTGGCAGGAATCTGGCCCTGTCATGCAAGAGCATCTAGGAGATTTCTCTGTGATGGAGACCAGACTGAGGAAACCCATTTTCAGCCCCTTTTCAACCCTTTGGGGCAACCTCCCAGGAGCCACATGGCAGTGGCTGGCTGGGCCAAAACCCAAAGCATGCAGAGTGATGGTGTAAGTTTTACCTTTGTACAGTAGGGTGGTTTCTAAACGTACATGCACGCCTTTCTCTGTCCTCCATTTGGGCAAGGAAGAGGCATGATCATAGTTCAATGACATGTCCTATTTGTTTATTTATCACCTTCTACACATGTCTCCAGGTGATGTACAAAATGCAACAAAAACAGCTAAAAACAATGCTGAAAGCAACAGCAAATAACACACCCTCCAAGTGTCCATATTTTCTAGGGACAGTCCTGGATTTACAGAAGCTGTCCCAGTTTCTCATTTGATCCTGGAATGTCTGGCTTTTTCTTAGAATGTTCCTATTTTCACCAGAGAAATGTTGGAGGGTATGGAGTTATGCAACCCTCCGAACCAAGGAGATAAGTAACTAGACAACCTTTAGAGGACATCTGAAGACAACCGTGTATAGGGAAGGTTTTGTTAATGCTTCATGTTTCTTTATGCTTTTATACATTTTGGAAGCTGCCCAGAGTGGCTGAGGCAACCCTGGCAGATGAGCACAGTATTATTATTATTATTATTATTATTATTATTATTATTATTCAGGACATACCTATGTGGGAAACAATGAGCAAATTTAATAAGAATCATAGAATCATATTGTAGTGTTGGAAGGGACCCTGAGAATCATCTAGTCCAGTGTTTCCCAACCTTGGGTCTCCAGTTGTTTTTGGACTACAACTCCCATCGTCCCTAGCTAGCAAGACCAGTGGTCAGTGATGATGGGAATTGTAGTCCAAAAACAGCTGGCGACCCAAATTGGGGAAACCCTGATCTAGTCCAACCCCATGCAGTGCAGGAATACACAGCTGTCCCATACGAGGATAGAACCTGCACCTGCAACCTTGGCATCATCAACACCACACTCTAACAACAACAGCAGCAGCAACAATAATTTATCTTATGCTACAATATATATTATTTTGATGATAATAGACATGGGAAAGGGGTAGAAAATGGCAACCCAAATGACAAGGGAGGTGGAGCAACTCCCTTATAAGAAAATATTACAATGTCAGAGGCTTTTAGTTTGATTGGCAGGACAATAACTAATGGGGAAATGCAAGTACAGTGGTACCTCAGGTTACATACGCTTCAGGTTACAGACTCCGCTAACCCAGAAATAGTGCTTCAGGTTAAGAACTTTGCTTCAGGATGAGAACAGAAATTGTGCTCCAGCGGCGCGGCGGCAGCAGGAGGCCCCATTAGCTAAAGTGGTGCTTCAGGTTAAGAACAGTTTCAGGTTAAGAACGGACCTCCGGAATGAATTAAGTACTTAACCCGAGGTACCATTGTATATAAAATTATGCATGTATGGAGAACTTGCACACAGATACATTTTCCTCCCTCTGTGATAATAGAGTGTTTGTGTGTGCAAATTATCCAACAAATTATAACTGAATTATAACCACTTCTCTCTCTCTTTTTTAAGGCTGCCAGAGCTTGGGTCCATCTGGCTGAGTATTGTCTATTCCGACTGGCAGTGTCTCGGTCCTTAGGGTTCATAGGAAGCTGCCTCTGTACCAAGTCAGAGACCATGAAGCTCAGTATTGTCAGCACCGGCAGGCAGCTGCTCTCCAGGGTTTCAGAGAGGAGTCTCTCCCGGCCTTACCGGAGATGCTGGGGATTTTGAACCTGGGACCTTCTGCACACGAAGCAGATACCACTGAGCTGTATCCACGTCCTCATCCTTCAGAAGCTTACAGGCAAGTCCACTAGGGCCAGCTGCCACCCCCCCCCCCCCCCAGCAGCACACTCCTTTTCTCCTCCTGCCAGCTTGCCTCTTGGCCTGGCCCCAAACTCAGTCTATAATTCTTTCCAAACTTCCCTGTTTAAAATAATCATGTATGTGAAGCAAAACAGGAGTCTCATATGCACACTTAATAACTCTTGTGTGCTATATTAGCGGGAATGCCAGTTCATAATCCCCCAGTGCTCTGGAATGGTTTTCATTTGTACTGGCATTCCTCTTGTGAGTTCTAAAGCTTCCCTTTCTCTTTGGGGCTGTCCCATTGCAGTTTGTGTGCGCTTGTGTGTCCCCCCTTTCCTGTCGTTTGCTTTGTCTTCCCGTTCCAAATTTCTCCACCAGATTCTTCTGCCTCTTCATCGGTTTCAGCTCCAGACAGCCATTCAACAAACCTGCCAAATCTACACAGGAGAAGAAGAGAAGCACAGAATTGCAGAGTCGCAAGGGACCCCAAGAGGCATCTAGTCCAGCCCACTGCCATGCAGGAATCACAACTAAGGCATCCCGGACAGATGGTCGTCCAACCTCTGTTGAGAAGCCTGCAATGAAGAAGCGTTTGGATTTGATATCCCGCTTTATCACCACCTGAAGGAGTCTCAAAGCGGCTAACATTCTCCTTTCCCTTCCTCCCCCACAACAAACACTCTGTGAGGTGAGTGAGGCTGAGAGACTTCAGAGAAGTGTGACTAGACCAAGGTCACCCAGCAGCTGCATGTGGAGGAGCGGGGAAGCGAACCCGGTTCACCAGATTACGGGTCCACCGCTCTTAACCACTACACCACACTGGCTCTCAATGAAGGAGAGTTCATCATCTTCCGAGCATAAGATAAGTCTGCTGGATCACGCCAATGACTCATCTACTCCAGTGTCCTGTTCTCATAGTGACTTACTAGATAGAATAATAGAAATGCAGATCTAGAAGGGAGGTCATCTGGTCCAGCCCACTGCCATGCAGGAATCTCAGCTAAAGCATCCATGACAGATGGCCATCCAACCTCTGCTTAGAAACTTCCAAGGAAGGAGAGTCCACAACCTTCTAAGCTCACAAACCTCTGAACCGGGAAGGGAGGGGGTATAAATAAAATTGTATTATCATCATCATCATCATCATCATCATCATCTTGGTTGCCCTCCTCTGCACACGTTCCAGCTTGTCAACATCCTTCTTAAATTGTGGTGCCCAGAACTGGAATTACCAGAAGACTTCAAGCAGTATCGAAGTGCAGAAGAGACTCTCCCCCCCTCTTGCGGTTCCCTGGAACTGGTTTTCAGGGCCATGCTGCGTCTGACAGGAGACATAGAACCTAGTCGTTGTAGCTAGGATCCCTATCCTCCAAGAATTTGTGTGACCCCCATTAAGAACATAAGAAGAACCCTGTTGGACCAGGCCATTGGCCCATCTAGCCTAGCATCCTGTTCTCACATTGGTCAGACTGATGCCTCTGGGAAGCCTGGCAGCAAGACCTGAGCTCAATGGCACTCCACTTACCTTTGATTCCTGGCAAACTGGTACCCAGAGGCATACTACCTCTGACTATTGAGCAGGCAAACCAACTCCAGGGGGGCTGAGGCATCTTCAATATTTGTTGGAAGTGGACCGGGCCCCCTCAGTGTTGGGGCCTTGCATACAGCATACAGGTGTGATGTCACAAGCATGACATGTGCCCTGCACACATGATGTCATGTGCTGCGTGTCACAGCTTCAGGCTCCTCTGGAGTGTTCGGCCTCCTGAAGACGATGTGACAATGCATGTACAATGTGTGCCAGGCCCCCTCAATTTTGGGGACAACCTGGTGCCTCTGCTATGGAGGTACCTGTTGATAGCTTTGACCTCTGTGAACTCCAGCAGAACATGGTGGTACAGCTATTCATGGACTGTACCACTGTAGAGTGCTGGCGGGGGGCTCTGATGTTCCTCCAGACTGCCACCATTCTGCAGCGGTGATCTTAGAAGTTTTGGTATGCACAACTGAAGTGGATCAAAGCACTCTGTTGCTCTAGCACAGCAAACCCACTTTTTAAAATGCATGCACACACACAAGATTGTACCCATCAAAAAAAATATTTATTGAAAAATAAAAAGTACAAAATTACAAGTGTGCAGGGTAAGATAAGGCACACACAAAAAAGAAATAGTACCCATGCAGAAAACAAAAGAGAAGAAAAGATATTGTATACATTACGAAAAAAAGGGGGTGGGAATTGCTATTGTAGTTAACCAAACCTTAACCTCAGGACTCTGGTGGCGCTGTGGTCTAAACCACTGAGCCTCTTGGACTTGCCAATTAGAAGGTCAGCGGTTTGAATCCCCACAACGGGGTGAGCTCCCGTTGCTTGGTCGCAACTCCTGCCAACCTAGCAGTTTGAAAGCACACCAAAAAAGTGCAAGTAGATAAATTGGTGGGAAGGTAAATGGTGGGAAGGTAAATGGCGTTTCCGTGCGCTGCTCTGGTTTCACCAGAAATGGCTTAGTCATGCTGGCCACATGACCCAGAAAAACTGTCTGCGGACAAATGCAAGCTTCCTAGGCCTGTAAAGCGAGATGAGCGCTACAACCCCAGAGTCGTCTGCGACTAGACTTAACTGTCAGGGGTCCTTTACCTTTATCTTTCTTAAACCTTAACCTAATATTGATAAAAGTGAAAATGATACGTACAAAATCTTTACACAGGAACAAGTTATGTACAAATGTAGGCTTGCCATGGACAAATTTAACAGTATTTGGAATTCAAGATTGTACCCAATGTTAGACTTACTCAGAGATGCTGAAGTTGTACCCTGTATTGAGATCTACCATGTAGAAGATACTTGCATTAGATCCCTTCCAGTTCTTCTGTCTTTTGATGGGTGCATTCAGATGTTAGGAATACTGTGTTGATTTTCTGTATTATAATGCTAGAGCTTCTGTCCTGTTTTCTAATGCGCCTTTCACACTGCAGTGCCTGTTGCATTATGGAACTGTGGTTTTTTGACTGATATACCAGCTTGGCATGCTATGTGTGTCATGAGGTTATTCGCTGCTGGGACTTAAGGAGAATGGTGCAATCTCCTTCCATTCCTATAAACTGAATCCACTTGTTCCTGATCATCCTTGAAGAGGGTGGTGTGTTGCCACTAGCTATAGGAACACTGAAATCATATATTAGACATAATTTTAAAAGCACACGGACACCTATAACTTGTTTTCAGGAAAACGATTGGAGGGGCATTTTCCCCCTGTTGTTTTTGTCGTCACAATATACACAGCAGCTTTAAGATGATGTGGTTTGATCCTGCTTGGGGAGTAGGGAGGGGAAAAGGATGTGTGTGGTTGCATTATTGCTGACAAATTTCGAAAGGTTTTGTAAAATGCCACACCAGGCTCACTCCTGGTCTTGCTGTCTTCCTGAAATTTGCACATATCCTGCTGGAATATGATCCCATGTGTCTCTATATGCAATGAAATTCCTCCTGCCACTAGGTAGCTCTTGCCCTGCTACAGTTTTCATTGGGTTTTTTAAAAAGTATTTTTATTTAATTTTAGCCTTATAACCCAAATAACAAAATAGAGTTTTGCGAGACAAACCCATAAAGAGTGAACCAAACCAAACCAGGCTGGTGTGGAATGTTACATTCAGAAGAAGATATGGTAAAGTTGGTTATCTGGATACTGTATATACTCGAGTATAAGCCGTCCCGAATATAAGCCAAGGCACCTAATTTTACCGCAAAAAACTGGGAAAACTTATTGACTTGAGTATAAGCCGGTTCACCACACCACAAACCTCCTGGTGGGCCAGAGTACATGTGTGTGCGCGCATGCGCACATGGCAGAGGGGGCTTCTCTCTCCTCCCCAGCCCCTCCCATCCCCCTGCCTACCTAAGGTGCTGCCGAGAGGCACAGGCTGGTGGCGGCTGTGGCAGAGGAAGAACAAGCAACCTGACAGGGCTGCTTTCAGGCTGCTCGTTCCTCCGCAGCCGCCATGATAGCGAGGGGCTGCTGGAAAGGCGCTTGGGTGGGACCCTCACTCGAGTATAAGCCAAGAGGGGCTTTTCCAGCATAAGAAATGTTCTGGGAAAGTTGGCTTATACACAAGTATATACGGTATTTGTGAGGAGATCCAGACCAGGAACTGAAGAGCAAAAATAAAAAGGGGGGAGAAAAGGTAAAGGGTCCCTGAGGGATTAAGTCCAGTCAAAGGTGACTATGGGGTTGTGGTGCTCATCTCGCTTTCAGGCCAAGGGAGCCATTATTTGTCCACAGACAGCTTTTCTGGGTCATGTGGCCAGCATGACTAAACTGCTTCTGGTGCAACGGAGCACCGTGACAGAAGCCAGAGTGCACAGAAGCGCCGTTTACCTTCCCGCCGCAGTGGTACTTATTTATCTACTTGCACTGGTGTGCTTTCGAACTGCAAGGTTGGCAGGAGCTGGGACAGAGCAACAGGAGCTCACCCCGTTGCAGGGATTCAAACCACCAACCTTCTAATTGGCAAGCCCGAGAGGCTCGGTGGTTTAGGTCACAGTGCCACCCGCATCCCCCCTCCCCATTTCTGCCATAAGAAATGAGAGAGTAAAAAGTGTGGCACACCTGAATTGCAAGATGTACAGAAGCATAACCCTATGATTGAAACCATCAGAGGCACAAGGGATACCAAGAGTAAAAAGGCTGTTTACTACATCATGGGGAAAAATTCAGCCAGTTAGATGTTACTTATCCCAAATTACCTGAGAGACTTGTGGAAGAGGCAAATGTAACCTTTCTTTACCCTAGCTCTTGATATCTGAGATGTGTGTGTTTGTTTGTGTGTATTCAGGACCCCACCCTATTCTTGCAACCCTGATTTTGTTTGAACTGAATTTCAAATTGTTCAAACCTGCTCTGGAATATTCTGATGAAGGATGGGCGATAAATTTATTTATGTAATATAAACATACTGCTTGATAGTTAGACAGCAGCAACAACAACACAAGGCAGTTTACAAAAAGGATGAAACAATGAAATTATCAAAAAATAAAAATAAAAACCCCAGTTAAAAGCAGCTATTTAAACCATTCAAAAAATAATTGAAATCTGCGATGAGCTAAAAACCAAATTACAACACATGGCAAGGTTCTACACGTCTGGATAGGTTTTGCCTAAACAGAAATGGTTTTAGCAGGCACCGAAAATATTCGAGTGAGGGGTTCAATGCCTTGATATCAACAGGCAGGGAGTTCCGAAGCACAGGTGCTGCCACACTTAAAAGATTGATGTCTTACAAATGTGGTGTGACCATTGGGTTGCACCTGTGGCAGTGACAGTTCCGCAGATCAAAGCAGTTAATTATTATCTTCAAGTGTTTTCATTATTATTTTATAACATTGAATAATACAGTGGTACCTCTGGTCACGTACTTAATACAGTGGTACCTCTGGTCACGTACTTAATTCGTTCCGGAGGTCCGTTCTTAACCTGAAACTGTTCTTAACCTGAAGCACCACTTTAGCTAATGGGGCCTCCTGCTGCCGCCGCACCGCCGTAGCATGATTTCTGTTCTCATCCTGAAGCAAAGTTCTTAACCCGAGGTATTATTTCTGGGTGAGCAGAGTCTGTAACCTGAAGCGTATGTAACCTGAAGCGTATGTAACCCGAGGTACCACTGTACTACTACGGTAAATTGGCTGGGGAGGTAAGAGTTCACTGTCCCCTCCACATGCACTCATTCCTGAGGACAGTCCTGCTTCACCCTCGAACTAAGTATTTAGGTTTTTTTTTAATAAATAAACAAACCCACAACATGATTGTCAATAACTTCATTTGGAACCCATGTGGTTCAGTCTTGTGATCCTGGGATGGAATGTCCTCTATGTGTGGAGGTGGATGTATCTAAGGTAGTGGCGGTAACATATGTCATGGGGCTGTGGTGTAAGGGATGCAGATGGAGAAGGGATGATGGACCCCTGATGGCTGGAAGATCAGCCAGGGGGTCCGTCCTCTGCGAACACTCTTGAGCAGGAATAGAACCAGGGAACAGCTCCCGTTGCCCCCGAGCGCTCAGCAACAAATGTGGATTTCATTTTCTAAACATTTCATGGTGTAACCTAAGACTTCCCCAAAATTTGGGGGACTGAGCCGCTCAAGGGATTAGTAACCAGATCTGGAGCCTTTCATCTCGACGTCGCCATTTCAACTCCCATCCACAGCCCTACGAATGACGGAAAGCGGTTACTGTCTGATGGGATTGAAGGGCTTACTTGTAATGAGCTGGGGGGCTTGCTCCATTTCCTGGTTGTCAGGCATCTAGTCCTCCCCCCACCCCACCACTCCCAACATCAGCTCTATCGCTGGTGCAAGCACACGCCATAAGAGCTGGCTGTGGGCCAACTAGAGCAAAGAGAACCAAGAGCGAAAGTTGCTGGCATGGCAAAGGGAATTTGCCATGAGAAGGCTTTCCGGCAGGTGCTACATGAGGTCTCTGTGTACTTGGGATGGAGGCTCATTCTCTTGTAAGAGGACTACCCCTCTTATGGATGTCGTTTGCCGCAATGGCAAAGCTCTACCTCCACTGATGGAGGCAGCATGTCCCTGAGTTCCTGTTGCTGGGAATTGCTAGCAGGGAGAG